GGCGTGTGGCCACTCTAGCCGTCACCTTCCATGGCAACTTCAACTACGTGTGGCTGCGGCTTCTGGAGCGCGCGCTGCCCGGGCGCGCGCCGCGCACGGTCCTGGCCAAGGTGCTGTGCGATCAGACTGTCGGTGGGCCGATTGCCCTCTCTGCCTTCTACGTCGGTGAGGGGCCGAGGCGGGGCTGAGTCTGGGATTGGAGTACTGGAGGCCCGGCAGGAGCCTTGGGGGCTAAGCGGGAGTGGTGGTGGGGATCTGGGGGCCGCAGAGACCGGAGATCTGAAGCTACTGGGGTTGAGGCAGGAGGTGACAAGTCTGCGGCCAGGGAACCAGGGCTGGAAGGAAGCCTTGAAACAGCGACAGGAGGTCTGGACATTGGGGGACTTCAGGTTTCCGTGAGGAAGAACTTGGGGGCTGCTGGCCGGCGAACTGGAGATTTAGCATGCCAGGGATTTAAGGGGTTGGTGTCAGAGCTGAGAGGTTAAAGTTGGCGGTGTTCAAGATAGGGTGTTGGGGTCTGTTTTCCTTCAGAAAAGGGCACATCCAAGAGACCCTGGCTTAATCGCCTAGCAGCTGCATCCCTGGGCTCCACCTATTCTGAAAAGAGCCACACCTGAGGCTCTGCAGCCACTTCATCTACCAAAAATGAGGGGATTGGTGACTCTGGGGACAGAGTGAGTGGAACCTGATATTACAGAAAGTCATAAGTCCAGGGCCTTAGTCTTGCTTGGCAACAAGAGTTCCCTGGGGTTGGGGGTCACGCAGAGAATGGGAGGGACTCGTGTACCTGAGAAGGAGCTCTCTTCACGCTGGGCTGGATGGCCTGGCCTTGGTCTGGTTTACTGAAAACAAAAGGTCCCAAGGTTTCTCTCCTTACCAATTTCTATACCCTCGAAGGCAGGGGCACCTGGAGAGTTTTCTCCAGGGACTGGACCTACCCTTGGCACTGGGGATAGTAGACCACCAACAATTGAGTCTAAAGCCTCTGGCCTCAAGCTCTGTCTGGGGATATAGTTCAATTGAACTATATCCCCAGTGTTTAGATTGTTTTTAATTCTGAGACAGGGACTCACTAAGTTTCTCAGTCTGGCCTTGAACTTGTGATTCTCCCGTGTCAGTCTCCCTAATTGCTGTGATGACAAGTCTGATCCACCTGGCCCAGTCTGTTAATGTCTTCCGAAACTGGCGGAAGGTAAGCAAACCCGGTTAAAAGGAACTCCCACTCCTGTGGGAGGTATTTTAGGGGAAATGTATTCACTTCCTTTTCTTCTATAGCCCACAGGAAGACCTGATGACCTATTACACTCTCAGCTAATGCCATGCTAAGAAACTCAGTGAAGTCAGAATAGATAAGCAGAGAGCTAGAGCCTTCTGATTTATGTGTCCAAGCGGTGTGCCTTGTTCTCTGTTGTGGTCTCCCAGCTACCTTTGCAAATGGATCCCTATACTTACTACAGCTTGGTGCAGTGGTGAAGGGGTTAAGGATCAGGACCTGCGACTTGACAGGGTAGATTCCTATTTAATCTTTGAGCTACCACAATACTAAGGTAGATACTCTTACAATTCCCATGTTGTAGAATGAGGAAACAGGCGTTTGGGGTTTGGAAGTTCACTGGAAGACAGCATAACCCAGGCTTTCAGCCATGCTCTTCATCTTGATGTTGCTATTGTTATATTTTATAAATGAGAGTAAAGAGAAGAATCCAAAATTACATTTAACTAGTTTTTCTTGCTATCACAGGATCTTGGGTTATATTTTAATCTAAGGTTTTATTCAAAGAAAGATGTATCAGGGAGTTTTCTGCATATATTGTGAAGAATGTCATTAACATTTTATATTGAGTCAATTTACCAAGATTAACAGTGTTTATCACTTCTAGAATTCATACTTATACCACCACATAAGTGACTAACAGAACATCTTATAAATTCCCCACATATTTTCTAGAAATTGGGCTTACCACTCACTAAAATTCTGCTATATTTACTCATAACCCTGCTATGTTACTTATATTTTATGATAATTATGTAATATAATTGAACTGCAAAGTAGAACTGGATAAGAGTATGCTTTTTATAAAATTTAACGTAAGTAATTTAGAAAGGCTTAGTAAGAAAAAGTATAACTGTGAGAAACTGAACCACAACAAATTATTTAACTGATTTGAATTATTTATCAGATTCTTAATCCAAATTAGAAAAATATGTCATATACTTTTGAAAAATATTTTATTAAGAAATAAAACAAACACTTATGATAGTAGTAAAATTGCACAGGAAACTGATAACTGTATTAATGTGCAAGAGCTTTAGAATTCATAAATAATATCAGTGCAGCTCTCTTCTTCAAGGCTTCTTCACTAGCCTGGGTTATTTTCACCCAAGCAAATTTAATTTTTTCAACCAGTTCTTCAAAAGGTGGCTCAAATCCTTATGTACCTTTTAAATGACTGAAATGTTTGCATTTCCAATGAAACAAAGCTAATATTGTGAAGTTTTACCCAAGGTTTTATTCAGCTTACCCTTTCTTCACAATTGTTTGGAAGAAGAATCTACCAGAGTTAAGACATGCACACGTATGTGAATTCTGAGCTTCTCCTTTAAAGTTTTTACACACACACACACACACACACACACACACACACACACACACACAAATGCATTATTTTCAATTATTCTATGAATATTCTAGTAGCTTTCTTTATAGACTTCATTTTATATAAATTTTATTTTCCTCTCACATATTTCATCCCAACAAGTTGCCCCTCCCTTCCCTCCTTCTGGTGCTCCCAGCTCCCACCTACCTTCTCGTTCAGATCCACTCCTCCCATGTTTCCCTTCAGAAAAGTGCAAGTCTCCCAGGGATAACAAGAGAACATATCATAACAAGTTAAAGTAAGACTAAGCACATACCCTCATATTAAGGTGGCATGAATTAATCCAATCGGATGAAAAATGTCCCAAGATTAGGCAAAAGGTCAGGCATAGACTCTTTGTGGCCTGGGCCTCAAGTTGGACCAGTAATCAGTTGGCCACTCCCACAAGTTCTGAGTCATCTTTGCTCCAGAGCATCTTACAGGCAGGACAAATTGTAGGTTAAAGACTTTGTGGTTAGGTTGGTGTCCCAGTCCCTCCACTTGAGGCCTTTCCTGGTTACAGTAGATTTCCAGTCAGACACCATACTCCTGTTACTAGTGGTCTTTGGTAGGGGCACCCTCATATTTTCGAGGGAGTTTCCATTGCACTGGGTTACTACCTCTCCCAGGAATGCAAGTTTTCAGTCATCTCTCTCAGATGCCACTGAGCATCTTGTACCTTATCCCTCCTGTTCCCCATCCTCACTCTCCCCCGTTCCACCCTAGAAATCTATTCTATTTCTCCTTCCCTGGTGTCCCTTCTTGTGCCCTCTTTGTTACTTATTCTTTTTATATAAATTTTATTTTAGTTATAAAAAATCTTATTTTAATATGAATCCAAGTTCCCTCTCCCTCCCATCCTCCAATGCCCCCCACCAACCCCCAGCCCATCCCTCTTCTGCCTTATAGAAAGGGCAAAACCTTCTATGGGGGATCATCAAAATGTGTCATATCATTTTAGGACAGGACCTAAGCACTCCCCTGTGTATCTAGGTTGAGACAGCCCCTTTATGGGAATGGGCTCCTGAAGTCTGTTCCAGTGCCAGAGGCCCTATAGACCTGTTCAATCCAACTCCATCTGGTTCAGACCAGTTCATTCTGGTTCAGACCTGTTCAATCCTGTTCTGACTGGTTCAGACCTGTTCTATCTAGTTCAATCCTGCTCCATCCAGTTCAGACCTGTCCAATCCAGTTCAGACTGGTTCAATCTGGTTCAGACCTGTTTATCATCAAAGGAAGTAGAACAGGGAGGCAGAAGCTGATACAGAGACCATGGAGGGGTACTGCTTACTGACTTGCTCCTATGGCTTGCTCAACCTGCTTTCTTGTAGAACCCAAGATTATGTGGCTAGGGATGGTGCCACCTACTATGGGATGGACCCTCCCCAATCACTAATCAAGAAAAAGCCTCACAGCTGCATCTCACGGAGGCATTTTCTCAGCTGAAGGTCCCTCCTCTCAGATGACCACAGGTTGTGTGAAGCTGACAGAAAACCAGCCAGCACACTGGCATTACTAACAGGGCCCCACACTCATAATTCCATTTAACTTTAATTACTTCCCCCAAAGATCCCACCAGCAAATACACCGTGGGAGGCTAGGGATGGGGCAGAGGCAACAGCCCTTAGAAGAATACGGTTCAGCTCATAACTCTTTCCTTGCCATCCATCGTGAATCAATTCTCATAGGAAATTTCCCATTCCTTAGCTCCTGTTGAACCAGAACGTCTTTGCTGATGAGTTCATTCTCATGGTTCCCTCCTCGGATTGCCCCAACTATATTTGCTCTTTTAAATAATGCCCTGATTTCTACTGAGTAGAAAAATGTAGAGCAAATGATCATGTTGGCAGCTGGAGATAGCATTTCCCACACTGAGCCAATGAGATGCTCCTGGAATCCAGTTGTGGAGAGGGATGATGATGAGCAAAGGAGCCAAGACTGTGCTGGAGAAATCAGCAGAAACAGTTGACCTGACCTAGTGAGAGCATGGAGGCCCAAGCCCTCTGAATGTGAGTGCAAGTTAGGAGGCCAGGGCAGTCTATGGGACCTCTGACAGTCTTTATCCCTAGAGCATAAATGGACTTCGGGAGCCCATGCCCTATGGAGGGTTACTATTGCGGCCCAGATAAAAGAAAGAGGACCTAGGCCCTACCCCAAATGATGTGAGGGACTTTGATGGTCCCCGTGGAGGGCCTCACTATCCTTGGGGTGTGGGTGGTGGGTGGGTTGGGGCGATTGGTGGGGAGCATGGGAGTAAAAAAAACAAAAACAAAAACAAAAAACAAAACAAAAAAACCCGCTGTAACTTTTTTTTTTTTAAAGGGACAAAATTTATGTATTTTCCAAATGTTCCAGTAAATCCTGGTGGAAGAGAATGGTTTTAGCAGTTAGAAAAAAAAAATACAAATCTTGGGTTTGGCCATTAAAAGTTATTTACAACGATGGGAGAAAAAAAAGACAACAAAAAGTTGTTTCACATTACAGACCTCCCTCCCGCCCTGAAGCCTAACACTTGCTTGTCAAGTCAGAGAGATTCGGTTGATTCACAAGCTGGAGGTTTGAACTTGAGTAAGACGTTTATAAAACTCAGACAGGGGCAATGTCCTCCCCAGTCCAGGTGCCACTAGGCACAGCACAAGAGACTAAAAACTCAACAGGGGAAAGGCTGGACACTCAGGGTTTGGGAGTATAAGCCCCCCACTTCTGGCTCAGGGGTTTCGGGAGTAGAATAAACAAAACGTACTTGGAAAAGAATTGGGAGGAAAGCCAGCAATTGCCTTCTGCAGGGGTGGGGCCTGGGTAGGAGGTAGGGACAGGAGCATTTCACATCACTAACCTAACTTGGGAAACCATAAGGGACCATCTTCAACTGGCCTTAAGAGTAAGACCAGATGGCTGATGGGAGAATCCACAGGAGGGAGAGAGGGATCGTGGCTGGGAGGGGGCAACAAGCCCCTTCCTTTCTGGGCACAGGAAGGCAGCCAGGGCACCAGGTCCAGGCAGTGACCTCACAAGGACAGCACAGTTTTTGCAGCTTAGAGATCACCCACCTGCCCCCACCCAGCTACTCATTCTGCTCAGCGCTGGCCGATGCAGGGCCACTCTCGGGCCCCGAGGGAGTGGATGGCTCTGCAGCCTGGGGCCCTGCCTCCTCTTCCGTGTCTCCTCCCTTGGAGGCAGCACTAGCCTCTGCCCCCTTGGCCTGGGGCTCTTGGCTTTCAGGGGTGGCAGCGACCTTCCCTTCTTGGGCAGTGCCCTAGTCGCTGCAGGCGCTGATCTCCCCCTGCTCATGCTCTTCCTCTGTTGGTGAGGAGGCTGAGGAATTGCCCCCACCCTCCTTGCGATTTCTCTTGAAGGACAGGCCACTCAATTTGAAAGGCTTCTTGAAAGAGAATTTCTTCTTCTTCTTGGGGGTCTCCTTGGGGGCGACCTCCCCCTTGGCCTCAGCTTCCTGGCTAGCGGGCGCTGGCTCCATGGCATCGCCAGTAGCCCCAGCTGCCTCATCTGTTCCGTTCACGGGTGGTGACTCCCCTTCACCCTTGGGGGTTAAGTCTCCATTGCTTTTCACGTGGTCATTCTCCTGTCCGTTGGCCCTCGGCGGCGGTCACGTTGAGCCTTGGAACTCTGGCTGCCCATGGTGGGGGTCTGCTAGGGGCGCCCTGAGCCGTCCAGCGCTGGCGCCGCAGGGGACGCTGTAACTTTTATATATGGTTTTTCTCATTTCCTACTTGGTGTTCCTTTAATATTCAGTTTTATTTATTGATTTTATTTGTTTATTTATTTTTATATTTTGTTTTTTGAGACAAGGTTTCTCTGTGGAGTTGGAGGCTGTCTTGGCACTCGCTCTGTAGACCAGGATGGCCTCAAACTCACAGAGATTCACCTGCCTCTGCCTCCCAAGTACTGGGGTTAAAGGCGTGCACCACCAACGTCAGCTAACATTGAGTTTTAAAATAGATATTCTTGTTTTCCTGTTGGGTCAAACAGCAACATGAATGATTGGAATTGGATGTGCCTGGATGCTGTTGGGATGAGAAACTTGAACACACTGTTATACAGTAACCTTTCTACTTCTAAAAACCCTTCTGTTGGGTTCCGGTAAATAGGTATGAGCATTCTACATGGAAAGGATGACATATTTTTGGACCTGAAGCAGAAATTCTGGAATACATATAAGGTAAGACTTGCTTTTGAAAATGTAATTATATCTTTTAAAAATATTTTAGACACTAAGGAACACTTACTTTAGGGGCTGTTGAGAAGGCCCAGTGGGTAAGGGATTTGCTTCCAAGGCTAAGGACTTGAGTTGGATCCCTGGGATTTACACGTTGGTAGGAGAGAACTGACTCTCACAGTTGTTCCTGAACTCCACATACTTTCTATGGCCTGACTGCACATGTGCATGAGTGTTCTCATGTGTGAGCACACAGACAGACAGACAGACACACACACATACTCTCTCTCTCTCTCTCTCTCTCTCTCTCTCTCTCTCTTGGTGATTTTTAAGAAGGAACATTTTAATACAACTTTTTTCCCCCCACTAAAGATTGAACCTATGCCCAATGCCAGGCACTGAGTTCCATGCCTGTTGCCTGTTTTGAAACCCTAATTGGCCTTAAATTCTTTTTTCCCTTTGGTTTTTCGAGACAGGGTTTCTCTGTATTGGTTTGGAGGCTGTCCTGGAACTCTCTAGACCAGGCTGGCCTCAAACGCACAGAGATCCATCTGCCTCTGCCTCCCAGGCCTTAAATTCTTGATCATCCTGCCTCGACCTTCCAAGAGCTGAGATTATAGACACATGCCATCAGGTGTGGATGTCAGAGGACAAATTATGGGAGATGTCTCCTTCCATTCTGTGGATTCCAAAGGTTGAACTCAGGTCATCAGACTTAAGAACAGTTCTTCTACCCACTGAGTCCTCTTGCTAGTCCACCTAGCTTTTTTTTTTTTAGTCTCTTCTTTCCCTCTTCCCCTTCCCCCTCTTTCCTTCTTTTCTTTGTTTTATCTTTCCTCCCTCCTCCTTTTTCTTTCCTTCTCTCCTTCCCTCCCTCCCTCATTTCTTTCTTTCTTGAACCATGGTCTTTATAAGTTGACCAGAGTGGCATCCAGTTCACTGTAGTTCAGACAGGCCTTGAACTTTTGCTCCTTGTGGGACCCTCAGCCTCTTGAGAAGCTGGGATTACAGGCTTATGTCATTAGGATGGGCTTAAAACAACTGCGATTAAATCAGGCTTACAGTGTGCTTGATCTGAGAATCCAATATTTTGAAAAAGAGCCTTCTTAATTTTGTTACATTTTGTTTTATTTTGAAAGTGAACATCTTGTGGTGTTGCCCAAACTGGAGTACAATTTTAGGGTTCAAGCAGCCCAAGTAGTTGAGACTGTAGTATACCAAATTAATTCTAGCTCAAATAAGTTGGGGAAGATAGATTCAAGGAGGCTCAGGGATGAGAAAAAATACTATCACTATATTCAGGCGGGTGTTCATGATGAATTCTGACTTCATTAGATTTATTCCTATTAGCAATCACAATTTATTTTTTAGGTTTCCAAACCTTTTTGCAGAACAGGAATTGTAGGCTGTAGGTCAGCAAGGAATCCTTCCCACTGTCAATGCATCCAGGCATGTGCTTTGTTGAATTTTTGTGCCCTTCTCAATGTCACAAAGGTGTTTCTAGAGAAGGATACTGTTTCCTCCAGCTGTATTCTCTATTCAGTACAAGGCATATGTTGCTGTTGAACAAACATTACTGATGCATTCAGTGAGAATTTATTGTCTTTAGGCCTGGCAAAGTCAGTGACATTTCTCAGCTCTGATCCGGCAGTAGTTTGACTCAATTAATAATAACAATCAGATAGACAAATTTTCAGGATTCCAGAATATTTCTCTAGTATCTTCCTTAGTCCCCTATCCAGACCAATGCTAGAAGTGTTTATTTAGTGGGAGGGGAAAGGGAGTTCTCAGTTTAAAACACAAAAATCATGTTGAGCTATCACCTGCGCTGTCTCCAGAATTTTCTGCTGTATGGTTCTGAGTCATTTGATGACTGAGGGCATAAGGGACATTTGAAGCCACAGAACCCCCTGAATCCGTATAGTTAGAGACATTTCCTGCAAGGATGGGGTTTAGAACTCTTGCTACTTCTCTTGGGGTAGAAGGTGTGTCCCCACAGATACTTTGGAATGTGACTTCCTGGTCCTTTGTTTTACAATGGTGAGTGACATTTCCCATTGTATCAGATTCAAGAGAGATGCACACATATGGCATTTTTATTAATTTATCTTTTTATTGGTTGTTTATTTTGAAACATGGTCTCACTGTGTAGCCCAATCTGGCCCAAACCTAGCCTGTACTCAAGGCTGGTCCCCAAATGTACAGTAATCCTCCTGCCTCAGCCTCCTGAGTGCTGAGATTATAAGCGTTATAGGCCACCACACTGTGTTGAACGTCTGATGTTAGAAAGAACAGGAAGCAGGGTTGGAAGTACAGGTCATTAGTAATCTCTCTTGGTACTGCCTTGGGTGCAGAGTCCTGGGGAATCTTGGCACATCTTATGTTTTCTTCCCTTTTCAGGTCTGGAATCAGGTCCAGGTCCTCACACATGTTAAGCGAGTAACATATTACTCCCTACCTACCCAAGTGATACCTCTATTATTATTATTATTATTATTATTATTATTATTATTATTATTATTGAAACAAGGGCTTATGTAATTAAGGCTGTCCTTGAGTTCTTTATGTAGCCGAGGATGACCTTCTGTGCTGGAATTTGAACCCAGAGATTTGTGAATGCCAAGCAAACACTCTACCAACTGAGCTATATTCTCAGCCCTATTTTTGGCAGTGCTAGAGAATGACCTTGGGCCTCAAGCATGCTAGACATACACGCTACCACCGACATATGCCTGGCTCTTTTTACCATTCATTTTTTGAAGAAAAAAAAAGGGGGGGGGTCTCACTAAGTTGCCTAGGCAGACTTGGAACTTGCCATCCTCCCGCTTAAGTCTCCCAGGTAGCTGGGATCACACAATGTCCCGAGTAGCCTGTGCCTCTTCCCCTCCATTCTCTTTTCCCTTCCCTTCCCCCTTCCTTCTGCTTCTCTTTTTTTCCCTGCAGAGCTGGGTCTAGAATTCAGGGCCTTGTGCGTGCTAGACACCTGTGCCACATCTTAGCCTCTGCGCTGTTTCTAATTCTGCCTGGGCTGCCCTGCTGTGCTGGGTGTTGGGTGTTGAGTCTTCCCAGCACTGGTGTTTACCAGGTGACACTTAGCACTGTACTGTGAGCAAGGGCTTGATCTTCTGTCCCAGCCACTTTTTCATGTACTCATGTTGGTATGTACTCTGGGTTTTTTTTTTTTCTTCCAGTGGTTTATAATCATTGCTGTGTTTAATTATTTTTGGTGCTCTCAAACATTCCAGTTTCGGTCAGTGGGAGGTCCTTCAAGCTGATTTCTGTAGCTTCCTCTGTCTTACACACACACACACACACACACACACACACACACACACACACACCCTACCAAGTGCTAGGATTAAAGACTCACCATCACTCCTGGCTTATGTATATAGTTTTAAAAATTAATTATTGAAGTGTGGTGGCTCAGACTTATAACCCCAGTACTCAGGAGGCTGAGGCAGGAGGACAGCCATGAGTTTGAGACCAAAGTGAGCTACAGAGCAAAACCCAGTTACAAAAGCAAATACATAAAAAAAAAAAAAGATTTTTAGGGCTGGCGAGATGGCTCAAAGGTTAAGAGCACTGACTGCTCTTCCAGAGGTCCTGAGTTCAATTCCCAGCAACCACATGGTGGCTCACAATCATCTGTAATGAGATCTGGTGCCTTCTTCTGGTGTGCAGATATACATGGAAGCAGAATGTTGTATACATAATAAATAAATAAAATCTTTAAAAGATGATTTTAAAAATTAAGAGGTTGGCAAGATGGCTCAGTGGGTAAAGGGCTTGCCACCAGGTCTGAGGACCTGAGTTCAGTCTCCAAGATTCCTGCAAGTATCTTCTGACCTACACACACACACACACACACACACACACACACACACACACACACACTAAATGTAAGAAGAAATTTGTAATGTCAGCTAATCTTGTCTGTACCAAGAGATAGTTGTTCCATAAAGAACCGTTTGGGTAAGTCAGGTGTGGTGGTGCACACCTTTAGCCCCAGCAGTGGGACAGGTGGATCTCTATGAATTCTAAGCCAGCTTGGTAAATAGAGTGGACAAAACTCCAGGCCAACCAATGACACATAATGAGACCCTATTTCAAAAAAAGTTTTTTGGAATATACTTTGAAGAATTCACTGATAAAACATATCATATATTATATGCTGATACTCAGAAATTATATAAATATGTGTGATTATTTTTAAAGTACCCATTACTTCCAGAATCTCTGCCAGACTTTTCATTCTGCACCTATGACTATAACTAACAAATGGTGTACTGACATACAAGATGTGCCCTCAAGTCTCTACCTGCTCTACTCTCAAGGCATCAAGTCTTCATTTAATTAGCTCAGATTACAACCCAGTCCTAGCCTGGCATCCTATGTGCCTGGCACTTCTTAGTCTCTTATAGAGTGAACTATGTCTTTGCTTTGTAAATAGACAACATTCTAATGAGGGTTTTCTTTATTCCAGAGTGGTCTGATGTACTGGCCTTTTGTGCAGGTGAGTGCCAAGCTGTAAAGAATCTGGGGCTGGGACTTGGCTCAGTGGTAGAGCATTTGCCTCACATGTGCTGGGCCCTGAGTTTTGTCCCTAGCATGGAATAAAAACAAAACCCAAAAGAAACTCTGTTACTTGTCCATTCTTAGCAGACTCTCTCTGCATTGCAGCTGACCAACTTCAGCCTTGTCCCTGTGCACTGGAGAACAGCTTACACGGGACTGTGTGGTTTCCTCTGGGCCACCTTCCTATGCTTTTCACAGCAGAGCGGCGATGGCACAGTGAAGTCCATGTTCATCTTCTTTCTCAGGAAGGAGGCAGGTGACAGGCCACCAGAGAAGTGAGGAGTCCAGGACTCTCTTCAAGACTCAGTTTTGTTCCTCCGTTGCTCTCAATCACCTGCAGCAGGCCTGCTTCACCAACCAGTTATTATCAGCTCCATCACGAAGAATTACTTATTCCGTAGACCCACTGCTTTGAAACTATCGATGATTTTTTTAACCATATGCAAACCTTTCCCATTCATTCCAGTCTGAAAGTCTTATTTCCCTGAAGTTTTCACGTCTCTAATGCTTGGTTAAAATGACAACAGTGACAGGTGACATTTTGAAGTTATTAATATTTCTATTCTAATATTATCAGGCCAGTTAAACTAAAAAAAAAAAAAACTCCAGTTTTGATTGTTTAGATTTCTAGCCTAAACTCTCAGGCTATTTCCTACATACTTTGGGATCAAACTGGCTTTTGTCCTTATAGTAAGTTTCTATCTGTATAGAATTCAGTCAAGAAGATCAAATAATCAGCCTCCCCAAATACCCTATAATAGTTTGTTATTACAACAGCACTAAAATTCCATAAGCAGGCTAGGCGTTGGTGGCGCACGCCTTTAATCCCAGCACTCAGGAGGCAGAGGCAGGCGGATCTCTGTGAGTTCGAGGCCAGCCTGGTCTCCAGATTGAGTGCCAGGATAGGTTCCAAAGCTACACAGAGAAACCCTATCTCCAAAAAAAAAAAATTCCATAAGCAGATGTTTTTATCTTCAAAAGAGAATAGTGTTGGATATCTTCTGTATATCTTTTTTCTTTTCTTTTTAAGATAGGGTCTTTCTGTCTTTCTTTGTGTAGCTCAGGCTGCCCTGGAACTCACTATGTAGCCCAGGCTGGGCTTCAAGCTTCCAAGTGCTGAGATTACAGGCATGAGCCATCATGTCTTACTCTTCTACTTTTATATTGTACCATCCAACTACAGTGCTCTTTAATTGATGCCTTCTGGCTTCGAGAAGATACAGTTGACCAAAGCACTCTAGTTCCTACATTGTGAAATAAAATATTTGGTTGCTGAAAGAATTATATTAAATGAAAATTCTAGAAAACTAATCATTTCCTTCCTCTCTAAGGAAGAGCTCTAGTCCATACTGTACCAGTGTACACAGTTTGCAATAATCCTCCTGCCTCTGCTTCCAAATGCTGGGAGTACAGACGTGAGCCACCCTGCCTGGCTGTGTGTGTGTGTGTGTGTGTGTGTGTGTGTGTGTGTGTGTGTGTGTGTGTGGTGCTAAGGATAGAACCCATTGCACATGCCACGGTATTGTACCTGTCAGGCAAGTGCTCTGTCACCAGCTGCACCCCAGGATGCTGACAATATTCTTTTGCAGTTCAGCGCTTTAAAATTCAGTATCTTTATACTTTAAAGTGGACACAAGAAACATTAGTCAGTCTTTCACATTTATTTAGTTTGTCTAATCTCAGCCAGTCACTGTCAGGTTTCAAAATTATCTAAATAAGCAGGTATGCAGGTGTGTGCCATCTTGTTGGGATGGAGGAGGATCACTTCAGCCCATGAGTTCTAGTCTGCACTGAACAAAACAGCAAGTACCTTTCTCATAACCACAAAAACAAAAATTTAAACTATGATTGCCTCAAGAAATTTCAGCAATCTCACCTAAAAATTGCCCCCATGGTTCTGTTGCTTCTATAGGCATACTTGACAAATTTCAAGATGTGAAACCCTGAATTCTGAGTTTATCTTGAGAATGTATATTTAAAGTCATTTTTAGAATTCATACTTGAATTTCTAAGTGTGTAATTTATATGTTTTGTAATGTGTTTGTATGAATTATGAGCATGTATTTTCTAAGTGTCCAAGTTATTGGAATGTAATAGATATTAATGTGTTTCATATCAGGGCAGCAGTAAGAACATTTCTTGAGTGTATACTTTTGAAAGTTGGGTGACTGAGCACTACCTGTAATCTTAGTGCTCAGTAGGTAAAACCTGGGATCCCTGAGGCAAGATAGTTTTAGTTTGAACAGCAGAATGGCATCAATGAGCTTAGGGTTCAGCAGCAGATATTGCATCAGTACGATGGTTTGGATGAGAATGACCCACATAGGCTCATAGATTTGAATGCTTAAACGTCAGGGAGTGGCGCTATTTGAAAGGATTAGGAGGCGTGGCCTTGTTGGAGTAGGTGTGGTCTTGTGGAAGAAGTGTAACTGGAGGTGGGATATGGGGTTTCTGAAGCCCCAATGTCTCTCTCTCTCTTCCTGTTGCCTGTGGATCCAGATGTACAACTCTCAGCTACTTCTTCAGCACCATGTGTGCCTGAATGCCACCATGCTTCTCACCACGATGATGAAGGGAGCAGGCCTTGGCCTGAGTACTGCCATTTTGAGCTCAGGCTCTGTTTTACCTGCAGGGTGAAATAAAGCTCAGGTTCCCAAGTCCTAAGGGAACTGAGAACCTTCCAATGGCTGAGCAACCTCCTCCCTAAGCCATATTTTGCATCTTTAGAACCCTAGAAACATTGTGGTTGTTCCTAACACCAGAAGTAACAAATGAATCTGATCAGTTGGGCTGAATGGCTCCCATTCTATACTGATTGACAATGATGGAACATTCAAGGAAGCCCCTAATCTCTAAATCCTGATTGGTGAAAATTGTAACTGTAACTTGCCAACAAATGTTTGAGATTTTTGTGCTTATAAACATCACTTCTGACCCTACTTGGGGCTGTCAGGAGAAACAAGGCTCCTGAGTCCTTGTCCTGCAGCCCTGATCAATCATTGACCTGCTTATGTAGTGATTTAATAAAATCTTCAGAACCCATAAGTGTCTCTCACCTTCCTCTTGGCTAGATGTAATAACTGACTAAACCTCTGAAACTGCAAGCCAGCCCCAATTAATTTCTTTCCTTTATAAGAGTTGCAGTGTTCATGGTGTCTTTCCACAGCAGTAGAACACTGACTAAGACACTCAGTAACATGGAGAGAGATCAAAGAAAGATAACATTGTGTCAACCTCTGGCCCCCATGTACATATACATACATGTGAACATCCATACACACGCATGCACGCTATCTTCATACACAAAGATGATGATGTACCTGACCTTTGGCTCTGACACAACACACGATGCATACAAATGTTAAGAATTTATAATATTTGTAATATGTGTAAATATACAGATAGAGAATGTACTTAGGGGTTTGGGATGTAGCTCAGTGACCCAGTTCTTGCCCAGGGATTATTCAAAGGAGAAAAAGGAAAGAAGAAAGGATGGAGGGAGGCAGGGAGAGAGTGAGGAAGGGCTAACATAACATTCCTGGCCATTCCTCAGCATTGCAAAAATACAGTTCTTCTGTACAGTATCTTTGTAATTAGAAGCCATATAGAATTAGTATGTTATTGGTCATTTTCACTTGAGGGAAAACTAACAAGTTACTTACTGTCTTACCTATATCATAGTGTGGTGACCATTTGAGAGCTGCTGAAGATGTTTGTATGAACTGAGTTTAAGAGCTTGTTTTAGTGTTTCCGTGTTTTTCTCAATATGTGTTTAGTGGGTGGTTTAGAGAGTAGTATCTGCCCACAGCAGAGCCAGTGAAATTTGCCAGTTAGGGATTTGTATGTTCTTAAGGGAAATTTAATTACTACCTGATCTGTAGGTGAAGAAATCATTTAGTGACTAAAAGAAATTAGAGATACTTGGCTGGTATGGCAGCTCATCTCTTGTAACAACAGGGAGGCACAGGCAGGATGACCAGGAGTTCAAGGTCATCTTCAGCAAGTTAGGGCCAGCTTGGATTACCTGGGTCCCTGTCTGAAAGACAAGGCAAAACCAAAACAAAAGCCAATTAAGAAAAGAAAAAAGAAAAGAAAAGCAGGGCCTGGAGAAATGGTTCATTGGTTCATGCAGAGGATGGCAATGGGGTTGGTTCTTGGACCCCACATAGCAGCTCACAACCTCCTGGAACCCCAGTTCCAGGGGATCCAACACCCTCGGCTCCTCAGGCACCAAACGTGCACTCAACAGACTCATGCAGCTAAAATAAAAATATATACTTTTTTATTTATGAGAAAGAGGTCAGGTGTGCAGGTCAGATCTCTGAGTTCAAGGTCAGCCTGGACTCTCACCACACTAACTTTGGTTTTAATGATTTGAGGAGGGAATTTTTCCCCCATTTCCTTTACATTAAAGCCTAGCGTTAAAGAAAATTAACTTCTGCCTTTGGAGTGTATCTAAATAGGGCCTTTACATTAACTATGTGACTGCACTGGACCAAATTAAATGTATCTCTTCTATAGACCTAGATGACCCAAGGTTCAGTTCCTAAGCCATAAGCCCGTCTGGCTGCCTTGATTGCTGTTTTCCTTTTAAAGACCAGCATCCTTCAGGATTCATTTGAAGTCACTGAAAAAAATTACTATTTTTTTTCTACATGGGCAATTTAAGCTCATTTGAATTTTATGTACATTTCTGCAGTGTTTGCCAAAAACACATTATGTCTAGAACATGCTTAACATATCTGGGAGGCAGTTTTCATTGGCAATTGGATTCCTTGTTGTTGCTTTTTTTAAAAAAAATTCTTCTAACTCTACTCTTTTGGTGTTTGGGGGCCCACCCACCCAGCTCTCAAATAAATCACACCAAGGTTTATTCTTTATTATGAATGCCTGGCCTTAGCTTGGCTTATTTCAAGTCAGATTTTCTTAACTTAAATAACCCTATCTGCCTTTTGCCTCTGGGCTTTTATCTTTATCTTATATACCTTCCTTTGCTTCTTACTCTGTGGCTTGCTATGTAGCTGAGTAGCTGTCCCCTAGAGTCCTCCTCTCCTCCTTTTGCTTCTTGATCTTTTCCTCTGAGATTTCTACTCCCATTTATTCTCTCTGTGTGTTAGCCCAGCATTTCCTTTCTGCTGCCTTGCTATTGGCCGCTCAGCTCTTTATTAGACTAATCAGGTGTTTTAGACAGGCAAAGTAATACAGCTTCACAGAGTTAAACAAATGCAACATAAAAGAATGCAACACATCTTTGCACGTTAAAATATGTTCCACAGCATAGACAAATGTAACACATCTTTAACTAATATTCTACAACAGTTCATCTTCTGAGAGTTAAAAAACTAAAGGGTTTCTGTTACTGAATTGTTTTTAGGCAGGCTCTGATGCTGTTCAGGCTTCTCTTGAAACTATGTAGCAAAGATTCTGCTACTTCTGTTTCCCAAGTATCAGAATTTATGGGCATATCTTAGAATCTGAAGGGACCAAATTGTCACAAATGTGACTGAAACTATGGAAAATCTTTCTTTTAACATAATCAGCAGCCTATAAACAAAAGAGGTAAATCTGAAATTTAAAGATAACAATGTAGGAAAACACCAATCTCTGGAGTCCCTATGTTCTACACTGATGCAAACAATCAGGTCAGATAGGATATAAATCAGGAGATATAAATAAAATGGTTGCCATCTCATGGTGCTTATGGATTTTACAGAACCTCTCAATATAGTTATTGACTCTCAATATGCAGAGAGAGTCGTCTTACACATTAAAACTGCTAAATTTGTTCCTGATGATACAGAACTAATTTCATTATTTATACAATTGCAAGAAATAATCAAGAATAGACTCATATATATATATATATATATATATATATATATATATATATATATCATCAGATCCCATACTGCCAGGCCCTCTAGTACAAGGCAATAATGAAATTGATTGATTAGTAATAGGAAGGATGCTGGAGGCCTTGGAATTTCATAAAAAACACCATGTAAATAGCAAAAATTTAAAAAAGGATTTTTCTATCACTTGACAACAAGCCAAGGAAATATTTTAAAAATGTCCTACTGTAGGGGGAAATGCTGGCCATACCCACTTGAGGGCTGGCCCAGGTGAAGCTGTCCATGCCCACTTGGGGGCTGGCACAAGTGACGTTTACCACACACACTTGGATGTGGTCAGAGCGACTTAGCAAGACTTTAAATATGAGGGTCCACGCATGTGGCTCTCTCTGTTCCCTCACCCGCCTGGTTGTACAGGACTGACTCCATCGCATGAGTACTTCCTAATAAACCATCTGCTCATCAAACTAGCTCTGACTCCATTGCAATCCCATTCATTGCATTTCACATTATCCTTCTATAACCAAACGCCTTTACCAGCAGGTAGTAACCCTAAAGGGGTTACTACATAGAAATGAAATTTGGTTCATACATAGAAATGAAATTTGGCAAATGGATGTGTTTCCCTTTACAGAATTTGGAAAATTAAAATATGTTCACCATACAATAGACACATTTTCAGGATTTCAATGGGCAATTGCTCTGAGCTCTAAAAAGGCTGATTCTGTTATCACATACCTATTAGAGGTAATGGCTATTATGGGTATACCTGCACAAATAAAAACTGACAATGCTCCAGCATATATCTCCAGCAAATTGAAACAGTTTTTTAAATATTATAATATAAAGCATATTACTGTTATACCTTACAATCCTACAGGACAGGCAGTCATGAGAGATCTAATCACACTTTAAAGGAAATGCTCTATAAACAGGTAGGGGGAACAAAGACCCCCCCAAAAAAAACAGATTGCATAATGCTTTACTAACCTTGAACTTTCTTAATGCTAATGAGAAAGGAAAAACAACAGCAGAAAGACATAGAACAATAGAAAAAATTCTGAGCTAAATCAGATGGTGTAATTCAAGGATGTATTGGCTTTGGTATGGAAACCAGGATATGTGTTACCTTGGGGTAGGGGTTTCGCCTTTGTTTTCTACAGAAGAAAAGCTTTGGATACCATCAAAGTTAATAAAGATCTGATTTGAACAGGAGAAACCTCTTGATGAGGAGAAATGAGAGTTCATCCGCCAAGGTGTATCCCACGGGTTGTATGGAAACCTTACAAAGGCAGGGGGAGTATTCTGTTCTTGTCTTTACCGAAAAACAGAAAACACCCATCTTCAAGAAGCCAAAAGATATCAGATGTGGTTTCCAAAAAGAACCATTGAACAAAGAAGAATCTGACTTAATGGTACCAATATCTTTTTTATTTTTTTATTTTTCGAGACAGGGTTTCTCTGTGGCTTTGGAGGCTGTCCTGGAACTAGCTCATGTAGACCAGGCTGATGGTACCAATATCTATTCATGGTAAAAATCCTTATACCAAACTTATGTCTCCTTACTTCCCAGGACAGTCACATAAAAAAATCAATGCTAGCTTTGGAGTCGGATTTGGCTTTCCCTCTCTAAACTCAAACATGTTGTTAAAATAATATTCAGAGTCTCTGTCTCATATCAAGAAGCCAGTTGGTATAAGAAAACAAAATCTAGGGGCTATTATGTAGGGAACACTGTAACCATGCCTTCTAGGGGCTGGCTACAGGTATGCCTGATCACGCCTGCAAGCAGCTACTGAAAGTTACCTTTTGATCGACACATGAACCCCATGATACATGAGCCCCCGCCCCATTACACACACATTCACATAATAACAACTTAAATTAAAAATCCTTGTGAGGATAAAGGTGCTTGCCAAGTTTGAATGATGTCTTGATTTTGATTTCTGAGATCCACATGGTAGAAGGAGAGAAGTCACAGGTTGACTTCAGATTTCCACCCAGGAGCAAACACACCAATAATGACAATAAATAAAAAGAAAACATCCTTTGGGGGATCATGTCACTTGTTCTTCTTCCCATGTCTACTTGGGACCAGAAAACCTCTATTTCCTAAAGATAGACATTCAGCTAAGCAGCTAGGTGATTTCCCCCAAACAAGAGAACTAATTGACTACTTTTCCTTTTCAGGTA